TCCACCCCGGGATCGGCGTCGTCGGTGTGACGATCATCAAGCCAGGGTGTTTCTGGAACAAGTGAGCCAGATGCGTCATGAGGCAGTTACGGAGACGTTGCGCCGCGAGGAAATCCTGGCCTTTGATTTGCCACATGCCCATTGAAGCCATTACTTTGTTGGCGGGCGTGAGGTGCGAGATCTGGGATGGGGTGAGGGATGAGGTTACTTCCGAGAGGATGGTGAGAGCGTGCGCTTTTTGGCCTTCGGGGAGGTACGGGATTGTGATGTCGATTAGCGTGTAGTTCTTAAGCTTGCGGTAGTGGTCGAGGGTCGCGTTGAAGATGGCGAGGACTTCAGGAGAGGCGCGGTCGATCCAGGGGCGGACGATGCCGATGGTTTTCGGGGTGTTGTTGTTGTTGTTTGGGGTGGAGGGGAGGGTGTCGAGTGGTGAGGGGAAGGATGCTGATACGGGGTCTGAGGATTCTGGAGCCGGCGTGGCCATGAGTCGGTAGGCGAGGGCTAGGTCGTCGATATTGGAGGCTAGGGGCCCGTAGACGCCTGTGGTGGACGCCAGTGAGATGGTTGGAGAGCCGCTCACGCGGCCGTGGGTGGTCTTCAGTCCCCAGATGCCGCAGAAGGAGGCCGGGATGCGGATTGAGCCTCCCCCGTCGGCGCCTAGGGCGATAGGGACTAGGCCTGCGCTGACGGCGTAGCCGGAGCCACCGGAGGAGCCGCCGCAGTAGTAGTCGGGGTTATGGGGGTTTCTGGGGGTGCCGAAGTTGGGGTTGTTGTTTGTGGTGTCTGGGGTGTGGAGATGGTTGTTAGTTAGTTTAGGAATCTCAGGTGAGGTATGTTGGGAGTTGCACTACTCACCAAGACCCAACTCATGCATGGTGGTCTTGCCAATGACGATGGCACCGGCGTCCTCCCATTGCTTCACACACCAGGAGGTGCCCGTGAACTCGCCGGTGAAGTCGAGTTTGCTGCCTAGAGTTCGTCGGTATCCTTCCATATGCACTTCGTCCTTAATTGCGACGGGAATGCCATCCATTGGGCCCAGTGGCTTGCCATCTTTGTATCGCTGTGTAGAAGCTTCTGCTGCGGCGCGAATCTTGTCGACCTGCGAGTCTAGAAAGGCGATCGAGTGCTTGCCGGGTGGTTTGGCATCGCGGCGGATCAGGGGGAGTAGGGTCTCGACGACGGCAAGGGGGGTCAGTTCGCCCGAAGTGTAGCGAGCGATATAGTCGGCAGAAGTGTAGTAGCCTGCATTGCTTTGTCGCTTTTGCGTGGGAACTGGCAGGTCGGCAGCGGGCGCATTGGGGTTAGCGACGGGAATCACGGTCGGATCATATCGGGCGGAGTATTGGTTGAGGGGGAGGTTGCGGATGACATCGAAGCCAGTGGTCCCCCAGAGATAGCTCTGGATGAAGCCAATGTTCTGGATACTAGAGAGGGGAGATGATTAAGCAGTTGTGGCTGAGAGGGAAGATGATGAGAAAGGAAGACATACAGACTGGCGCCGATGGCCAAGGGAAGGCCGCGGATGACGGGAATCACCTGCTCCTCATTCTTGTACGGCACGGTGGGGCCCGGCCGGGCCTCTGGATAGTGGATGAACGGAGCTTTCTCACCCATGATGTGATCAGGAAGTGTCGGTGAGAGTGGAGGAAAAAGAAAGAAAGAACTTAACGGGGAGAACTTCCTTTCTTTTTCCTCCAGCTTGATCGCCAAGCCAACCGGCCAGCCGTCACTAAGCTAAGCTCAGCTCCCGGACCCAAACAGCTGCTTATCTACTGGACCCCGGATTTCGGTCCGCATCTCGACCAGAAGTAGTTGGTGGCCACGGTCTATATACAACATTTTTCTTCATTATAATCTGATTATTTCCCCCCTCCTTTTGAAGAGAGGTGTGATGTCTTCGCCCATCTTGTATTTCAAATTGCCAACTTGATGTTGGCCCGGTCCAATCCTAGTGCTACACCTGTGAGCGCCGCGGCGTATGCGATAAGGATTGCCATCGCCTGGGCCGTACTGACATCCAGTGTCGGGACGCTCAGGTTGACTGCCCCGGTGAGCAAGTTGGCAACCAGGAAGATGGCCAGTCCGCCGCGATTAAATGCCTTCAAAATCCGACTTGTCGCAAAAGACACCCGGTCGGCCTCACCGTCCTTCCCGGATGCCCGATGCACCGATGGGAAGAAAACTGTTTCCAAAAGACAAAAAAGAAACAGTTGAGCATTGTTGAAGGCAGATACCCAAACAACATACGGCATGTTAGCAAGTCGGCGCGAGACCGGAATGTTGGCGCCATGGCCTAGTGCATAGGTAGAATTTAGAATGAAGATCGCAGACCAGGCGAGCGCTTGGACACCTAGAGTCACCAGCACACCTCTTCTCGCCTGCTGGGGGGACCGTTGGGCAGTGGTGCCGCGAGGGATGATTCGAATGCCAGTGGCACGGCCTGCCAGGAAAATCGCAAAGTATCCCAGGAACGAAAACACGCCTTCTCGGTTTTTGGAGAGCAAACTTGGTCCGCGAGGGGAAACAAGGATATAGCTCTTTAATTCAGTCGATTCCAGAGCGACTTGATACAACACAGCAACTGCCAGCGAAAGAGCTTCATAGGAGGGAACAATGGCAGCCAGGCTGTCAAAGAGCTCCACGAAGGGTGGCAAAAGACCCAGGGTGAAAAAGAAGTTCCAATGCACGCCATACTCCGTCACATGCTCCGCATAGTCCAGCCCCTTCACGCTGTACAGCCTGATCAAACCCAGGATAAGTAGAGGGACCGAGTGCCGCGTGGAAGCTATCAGCCGCTGGCCTACCGGAGTCTTCCGAGCGCCATTGCTTCGGCCCTTAAGCACAGAGCGAGCAGATACTACCCCGCCGGAGAACACGAAAGATCCCACACCCAAATCCATGAGTGACGTGCCCCAATTTTCCACCTTTGCAAACCGCCGTGGAAACGCCTGGAAGTCCACCGCCAAGATGGCTACACAGGTAATGATCATCATGGCTGCACGATATGTTGTCAGAAATGGGTGGATTGGTAAGGATTCGGGCATGTCTGCTGCATTCCTATCGCTTTGGGTCGGTTTCGGTGGAGGTTTAGCCTTTTGCTGGCTGCGGGGAGGTCTCGAGTTGAGAAACAGCAGGAGGGCTGGGGCGATCAGCAGGACGTTCAGCGTCCATGGCGCAGAGGAGTAGACAGTCGTGGCAAACAGAATGGCCAGTACATTGAGCAGAAAGTCGGTCACCAGTGCTGCTGAGCTGTAAGGAGTGAAGAAGGAAAGGCGTGATTGTAGCGCTGACCATAAGAGAGCAGCGGCCTAGACCAATCCCGTGAAGAGTCAGCTACCACTGCCTGGGGGGTGTGTGACGTATCCCAGGCCATCGCTTCTGGACTGGTGGGATCGAACAACTGTCAAGGGGAAGAGAAACGTACAGGTGCGACTAATGTGACAGCATTGATCTCAAGAATGCTACCACCAGCAAGATCAGACACGAAGGCCTCTTTGCGAGCCTTGTAGCTGGGGTCCATAGCTGCTACTTGTTCGGACCAGAAGTCCAAAAAGGCCAAAAGACCGATAGAGGAGGGGTAGAAGGAAAAGGCAAACAATGCTGCAGATAGATTGGAGCTAATCTTGCATCAGAAGCCCTACCCACCGATAGTGAGACGTGGCCGGCGCAAGGTAGGGGGCAGCAAGTCAACAGTTCAGTCAAGTCAAGGCAGAATGCAAGCAAGTAATGTGAGAGTTGCGATGACGCGCGAACAAAACAATCTGGCCGCTTTTAGTCTGGAGGACCTCAGGCCAGTAACTTCCCTCATTAGGGTTAGGCTGTACGGAGGAGGCTTGTGTACCTGGAAAGAGGAATACCGAGTATGGTAATCCGGTTACAGATCCATACACATCCATACAACTCCCCGCCTTTCTGATTCAACCCATCCAAAAACCGATTCTCATTTTCCCTCTTGCTTGTCGTGCTTGCGTCTTTTCTGCCTCGTCGACGTCTCACCTTTTCCATGGTCTTCTTTCCCTTTCTCTCAGCAAATCATCCTCTGCCATCTTTCCTGCCTGGGAATTATATTTCCGACTTGTCAATCAATCACCGTGTCTCTGCTTCAGACAAAGTGGTGACTAACCATATATCACTGTTCTCCATCGCATTGTTCATCCCAATTGCGTTGCTTAGAGTGCCATATAGAATGAGCTCATACGGCTGAGTGCTCAAGAGTCTGAAACACGGAGACAGGAAAAGAAAAGAAGCAATCTGCTGCTTAATCTGCAATCGCAGGGTCTGTTGTGATGGATCCCATGCTGGGGATGCAAGAAGACGAAAACAAAGTGCAGAAAAATCAAAGGTCAGCCAAAAACTGTATCGAATTATTGCGCTTATGTGCGACAGACCGATCATGACTGTGGCGTGCGATGTTTTCATTGGCAATTGATTACCACCTACCACCTGCCAGGCTGCCATTGCTGGAGCCTCCACAATATTTCCGATCTACATTCTCTGGGGGGCCAACCAGATGCTAGCAAGGGGGCGTACCGGGTTTCACCCACGGAGCTTGCTAAGCATGATGGGGGGCACTAACTAACAACTACCATGCCACTAGATGCTTATACTATACTCCTACTGGAGCAGAGATGAGAAGGTGAGCCCCGGGGGGGACGGAGGTTCTCCGTGTCCCCCTGGTATGACAATCACGCAGGAAACTGCTTTAGGCTATGCGTCGTTGTTTCGAGCTAAGGACCGGTTGGGTCAGCCAAGGTTTAGCTCACAAGATATGCTGTGCCGCTTACTACATTATACTGAGTTTATGGTGCTTGCATTGACTTGAACGACGAACGGACGATTAATAAAAAACCATGGAATGCACCCACCACAGACCAAACAGTCGGAGGGAAATGAATGATCACGAGCGAGTTTCAGTAAAGTACACGGCCGTCTCCCGTGCGGATGCAGCTTGGGACAATGATATGCAGCTATCAGGCCCACCGACCGGCTTTAGCACGGCTTTACCTTAGGAGATTATCTTTTTAGGGCCATTCGGCCGACGACCGGTATGTTGGTCTTCCGTGTCCGGGGTACATTGACACTACGAACCAGCTCCAGAACATGGTCTATTCTATCCTGTCTTGTGCCTTGAACTGATTCTTGCTGGGACATTTCATTGCTGTCAATCACATATGAACCTGAGTTCTCTCATCCCTGCAAAGCCAAGTTTCAAGGGAATGAGGCTGAGCAACAGAAAAAGCAAAAAAAGGGAAGAGCAGCAAAAGCGAGGGAGGGGGAAAAAAAGAAGTGGGATCCAGACTCCATTTGAACCTTTAGAAATAAAACCGACTAACCTGAGAAGGCAGGCACAATGTGCGTCATGCATCCACGTTCAGCCAGCCATTTCTCTCAAGGCCTTCTCATGGTGGTGCTCCCTTTCCCTTCCCTCCCGTCGGATTTTGCCGTTTAGACTCGGGCATATTGCCTACTTCCATCCCTCCCGTGGTGATTTATTCTAAAGAGGGTATTTGGGAGCCGTCGGTTTCGATGTTCTACGGAGCTTCTTTCGCCGGGCGTCTCCCGACACGAGTCCCATCCGACAGTCGATTGGTTCTGATTACTCAGAAGGGCTTTTCTGGACCAACCTTCCGCTTGGCGCAGCAAATCGTAGTTGGTTTTGATGGAGGACCTGAGTGTGGACCCGATCTACTCCTCCTCGTGGCGAGCACAACCCCAGTGCTACCATGGTTCCATCTGAACCCAAAGGGGCTGATTGCCTAGTATTTACTCCCTTCCCAAGGCTCCGCCCTTAAGGAGTCCGATTGGAACATCCATTTCACAAACCTATTCGGGTAAATCGAGGAGGTGTCTGCAATCGCTGGTACGAACAGGCGGCAAGACGTCATTTGCCCAACCATGGGTGAGCCCTTCCAACAGAGACACTCATGGGGTCAGGAGTGACTGTCCTGTCCACATTTGATAGCCTGGCAGATCCTGAAATCTGAGATTCGGGATCCTGGAACCGCTGGGGATCGTGCATACCAATGCAAAACCCGCAGATCGCTGGGAGAATGGTGGTCAGCCACCGTCGTAGTTTGTCGGTAGTCTGAACAGCCAAAACCCACACCTATGGTCAGCTCCGCTTGGTCTCTGAACGTTCTAACCCTTATGGTCAAAGTTGGTCGCTCTCGGTATTCCCCCGTCCCGCCTGCACTGCAGCGGCCCTCCCACTGCCAGTTTCTGACTGTCGGTCAGTCGGTTTACCCTCAACTTGAACTCTGTTTTGGGCTTAAGCCCCGGCATGGTGCCAAGGATTACTTTCTCCTGAGGTTGAACGAACGCCATGAAGCTTCTGTATGTGCCCCAGGGCGGCGTCGGTCGCCCATGGTTTTCAACTTCGTTTAATTTTGTTAACTTTTTTTTTCCTCCCCATTTCCATTTCCACATTTTCTCTTTGAGTTTTGCTTTTTTTCTTTTTCGTCCTTTTTTTTTTTCGTCCTCTTTTTTTCTGTTCGTTCGCTTAATGAAATAATGAACCCGCTACTGAATCGGGTCTGCCATGTGGCCCGGAAGGACTAAGATCCACCGGATGGTGAATACTACTACTAAATGCCGTACAAGAGATGATACTCCATGCAGACTCCGTGCTGGACATGCTCTAGGACAGGAGAGGGACAGCAACAACGTGCCAATTTGTTTCTGCTCTCTCGGGGTAACCGGCATAACGGCGTCGGTACTTAACTGGTGTACGCTGCCGCCACGCAACCATGCCAACCCGTCTAGGGTGTTGAGGCTACCCCCCCAAGTTGCGAATTAGGGCGTGCTTGTAGGTCGGGAGGGTCGGAAGGTGCTCATAGCGCTGCGCCGCTGACCCATCGTAAGAGCTACCTGAAGAAAAGCACTGCACCAAAGCCGTGTGTTTTCCTCCCCCCCCCCCCTCCCTCCTCCCCCTCCCCCTTCCTTCATGGGATTGGACTGCTCGAGGGATCTGCTCATTGGCGCGTCTTCGGGCCCCAAGCCAACGGTTGGTAACGAAAGTGTACGGTGTATTACTTACTTTACTGGTTTTACTGCTGATAACTAAGGAAGTTGGGGAGCTGGAGACTCCAAGCTGTCTGAGGCAGAGACAGGGACGATCTGGAGACCAAGCCAGGACTAGATCCTCCCAGGCCATACGTGCCTAATTATTGCCTGCACCAGTCAGAGCCTGTCTGAGCTGGAATGGGTCCTAGCAGCCATGCCCAAAACGGGCAGTTCCCTGATTCTTTTTCGTTCAAACGCTCAACAAAGATTATTCCACCACCGACCCCTACTAAGTAACTACTGTTTACCTACGTATCTACCCGCCCACCTTGTTCCTATCAGACGGCCTCTGTCCGTCCACTTGGGTTTATATATATACCTAGTTTAGCGCGACCCACGCACTTGGAACCGCTATAGTCGCATCTTGAGAGGCGGGCTCAAGTACCTCTGGCGGTCCACACACCTGTCTGGGATGCATCACGTTGCCTATACGAATCACACATATCACCTGCAATAAACCCTCTTCTGCTCTTCTTCTCACATCAACACCCACCTGAATACGATTTGAAGTGCAGGATGAGCCCTACTCCAGAACCCCCCACGGCCAAAAAGCGCGAGTCCCGTGCTGGGGCGCGTAAAGTGACGTCGCTCTCTGCCGAACAGCTGGAGAGGAAGCGCGCCAACGATCGGGAAGCCCAAAGAACCATTCGTCAGCGGACCAAGGAGCACATTGAACGGCTGGAGCACCAAGTGGCCGAGTTGAAAGCCAAGGGGGAACAATTTGACGACGTCGTCCGACGGAATGTGGCGTTGGAACATGAGATTCGAGCTTTGAAGCATCAGCTCGCCCTGGCTGGTAGGCAAGGATATCCGGGTATGGGTGGGTGGCCGGTCTCGTTCGTTTGTTTCAGCTACAGAAAGAACTTGAAATGGCTGACAGACATTTATTGCGCATCAACAGAAGGAACTTATAGCAATGCTGCTCCCGGGTCTATGCTCCCGGCCACGCAGTTTGCAGAGCCTCTGGGGATGAATCCAGCTTCTAGGGCCCCCTCGGTCATCTCCACGTCCAGTCGTGTCTCGGTAGGGTCGGAATGGCCACCCTATGGCACAAACCGGTCACCCTCAACATGCGAATCGAGCGAGGCGAATTATGGGAACCGGGCTGAACCGTACCTGTTCGAAAATCAACTTCAGCCGGCGAGCGCAATGTCTGTCGCGCCGCCGCAGGTCAGCTACAGCGCGCCTGTCGGTGCTCAACCAGACCCGACATTTCAATCGTATGCACAGGCATATCACACCGGGAACGCCACTCGTGGGCCGGTAGATGACCTAACACCCCATCCTCCACAACCAGTTCATTACGTGCCTGGACAGCGGCCGATGTCAGTACCGACAATACCCACAGAAAGACCGGCAGGATATTCTCTCGTGCATGCGCCGCAGCCATATCACCAACATACGCTTCCACCTCAGACCCGGAATGACTACGGCTATGCCTGGAACCCGCATCAGTCGTGAGACGGTGGACAAGCAAGTGGGTCTCTCACAAAAGGAAAGAGGTTCTTGCAAGAGGCCAAGGCAATCGCGGTTGTTGCCTGGAGGCTCAGCAAGCTATCAGATGATGGTTTCGATCAATACTCTCCGACTCAACGCACGGGGAGGACCTGGCATCTGGGCCGCGAAACACTGCTGCGTGCAACTACGCAACACAACACACACTTTCGGGCTGGTCATATTACACAGGGCTATCACCAAATTGTCTGCATGAACTCGTGATGGAAGGCGCTTTATTGGATCCGGAAATTGGCTTGCCTCACGCCCGAGCGTCCACCAAAGAAAAAAAAAAATCCCTAGGGGTCCGGTTATCTCGGTGGCATTGGCGGTCACCACACCGTATCGTGGAACAGAGCTGATCTGACCCGTTCAGTCCCAGCTCTAGCTCTCCCGACGACCCGCCCCAGCAGAAACAAATCCGTGATTTTCGGCCCGCGAAATCGACGAAATCTGCCGGCGGGAGATGATGGACGGCAACTCCACGTTTTCCTCATGATTCGCTTGGATAGAGAAGGAGGGGCGTGGGGGATGCAGAGGAATCAGATTACATGATTCAATGGTCTGATTAGTCAATAGTATCTAGATTGAGAGAGAAAAGAAAGAAAGAAGGAGAAAGAAAGTCGATAACCGAGATGCTACGAATCCACATGGTCGGTATCAGATTCAACCAGAAAACCACAATATGATCATTTTCATCATCGTAAACATCATCAGAGCCCCAGAATGACCCAGTGTATACTGCCCCCCCTTTTTTTCCCTCTTCATGGAATGTATTTTGTAGATTTTTACTCTTTCCAGAACCATCTGCGTACCACACTTTCCATCCGATTAGCAAATCTTCCATTTATTTTTTCCCCAGCCGGCCCGCCGCCCACCGGCTCCTTCTTTCTACAAGGCCCATCCATACTTTACTCGAACTAGACAAAAAGAAGTCAACCCCAGCTACTACTACCCACCTACCTTTCAAAGATGATTCGAGCTCGGCAGAGTAAGCGCTTAATCCGAAACTAGCACAGAAAAGAACAACACAGAAGAAGAAAAAAAAGAGGATCAAACCGGGGAGATCGGATCCAGAATAACTCCCGAAAACCCTCTCTCTGTCTGTTCTTTCCACTATTCTTCTTCCTTCTTTCCTTTCCCTTTCTTGTGTAAGCTTCCGATTGGAACCTGTATACCCGGTACCCAGTACCCAGCTTTCCATTTCTGTCATCGGGGGGGGGGGGGGGGGTTTGTCCTCTCCAACCGAGCCTCCATCAAAACTCTCCGATGATCCTGATTCAATTTCTTGGCTTGGCTCTTGGCCTTGGCTTGCTTGGCTGAATGGGAAAATAATATGTTTTAACAAAAAAGTTAATGCAGGTATATTTCGGTACAGTGCTGCTGTTTATTGGATATACTTTCGGTCGGATCGGATCGGATACGTTTAGTTACTACACAAAACTAATCATCTTTCTTACTCTAAGTTACGGCTGTATTTGTTCATCATAACTTTTGTTGTTAACTTTGAGTCGAATGGAGCCTACTAGGCATTCAGCCTGCCTAGGCTGCAGCAGCCCTTTATTTCTAATTTTTCATCTATCTATCTATCTATCGATCTAGTCTAAGTATAGTATGTAGATGGTTAAGTCTATTCTGGTTAGTTGGTTTAGTTGGATGTCGGGGAAAAGGCGCGGTGAATTCGGCGTTTAATTCTATGAGCTCCTTCGAAGTGCACTCACTCACCGTATGGAGTCCATACTGTAGAGTATGATTAGTGCTGTACTGTTGAGATTGTTTTATGAGTACTACGTGATTCTAATTAGCTAAGGTAGATTTGTAGTTGGACAACACAGGGTGAAGTACTCGGCCGGTAGGTTGTACTACTATTTACTATAGTAAGTAGGGTGTCCCACTAAGATGTTGATCGACGATATTTACCTAAATACGTAGTACCTATTTATTGCCTAAGGTTTTCTATCATCTTCTTTTGCCGACGTGGCCAATTATGAACGGAGGGATGTAGTTTCCGGGTCAACTTAGTAGTAGCGGTAAGAGGGGGATGTATGTATGTATGTATGTAACTATGTTGTATGTATGTGCTTTGTAAGTTGTGGATGCTCCACTAACAGCTGACATACATAATCGGATTGTCGGATACGTATAAGGATGAGAGAATATTGAAGGATGGATATATGGATGTATGGTAGAGATGTATTCCGGTTCCCAGTCCTATGGTTTGGAATTTGAGTTTCTCGGCTAAAGCGACACGAGGTTCCTTGATTTTCATACCCTTCTTCGGATGTGAGGATATTAAGTCATAAGGATACATAAAGTGACATAAGAAGAGGATAAATGTAGTATAGTATAGTGTGTCATGTGTATGTATCTAGGATGGGTCGGAACTCAATCTATGAAACGGAACCCCAATTCGAATGACGGATGATAACATGGAACAAGTGGGGAAGAAAAAAAGAAGAAAGAGAAAAAAAGAAAAGTATCGTTTCACTTAGCGAGTATACTGCTTCTGTAGCATCTTGGCAATCGTCTGCAGTTGAATGTTGCTGGTTCCCTCGTAGATGGCACCGATCTTGCTATCCCTGAACATCTTCTCGGCGATACCTTCACGCACGAAGCCCATGCCTCCCATCCACTCCACTGCGGAGCCAGCCACACGGCCAGCAACTTGAGAGGCATACAACTTCGCCATTGCGGCATCTTGCACGAAGTCCTGTCCCGCTTCCTTCTTGCGTGCCGCATTGTAGACAAGCGCACGGGCGGCTGCGATTTCAGTGTACGCTTGTGCCACCTGGTGCTGCATGCCCTGGAACTCGCCGATCAGTTGGCCGAATTGGCGTCGATCGTTCCAGATGTATCTGTGACACGTGTTAGCAATGGAAAGATCAGCCATGGGATGACTGCTTCAGGTCCCCTCAGAGATACGGGAGTCCCGCGGAGATATGGAGAGGTGGTGTTGGGGCATGCTTACTGTGCGGCATTCTCCCAGGCGCCGAGGGCCAACCCGGTCATCTGGGCGGCGATACCAATTCGTCCCTCGTTCAGAATGCTAATGGCGTACTTGTATCCCTGGCCTTCTTCACCAAGCAGGTTGCTCTTGGGGATCAGGACGTCGTCGAAGTTGAGCACGCAGGTGCTGCTGGCCCGGATGCCCAGCTTCTTTTCCTTCTTCGCAATGGAGAAACCCGGGGTATCCTTCTCCACGATGAAGGCGGTGATACCCTTGTAACCCTTGCTAGGGTCAAGGTTGGCAAAGACAAGGAACACGCCGGATTCCATGGAGTTGGTAATCCACATCTTCGATCCGTTGATCTTGTACCCATCGGCCGTCTTCTCAGCCTTGGTCTGCAAGGCGAACGCGTCCGATCCGGAGGCCGGCTCCGACAGACAGAAAGAGCCGACGGTGCCAGTAGCCAGCTTGGGCAGCCATGTGCGTCTTGCCTGCGCATCACCGTACTTCATGATAGAGGTGTTGACTAGGGTGTTGTGAACGTCTACGAGAACACTGACACTAGGATCGACGCGAGCAAGCTCCTCGATCGCCACAATTGCCGCCGTGAAGTTCATCCCCGCACCACCGTATTCCTCCGGAATTTCAATGCCCATCAGTCCTTGTTCGAAGAGTTGCTCGACCACGGCAGGGTCCATGGTCTCCGCTTCATCCATGTCTCTGACTTTGGGCGATATTTGCTCCTGAGCAAACTTATTGACGGATTCGGACATTAAGGACTCTGTTTCAGAGAGGAAGGTGATCGGGGTGGGCGTTAGTCCGGACAGGTCGACATCCCGCCGGCGGGAGGTGGTGGAAAACGCATGGGTGCTGCTGGAGGAGGATGTTAGCAATAAGTAACGGCTATCATTGTGGGCGTATTGCTATGGCTCTTGTCCTGTTGAAGGCTGGTGACGGCCAAAACTCACCTCACAGCTAGCCTGGCCGACAACGGTGGTCTTGCGATAAGGCGGGCGGAGGTAGCAGTGCGCGACAAAGGCCGCAACGCACGGGTAATAGACGCCATATCGAAATGGAACTGACTGGATTAACTGGTTATAGTGTGTAACTCGAGGCCACGGCAAGACACGCAACAAGGAGAGGAAGGGAAGAGGTGGAAAGCAGGTGGTGACGGGGAGAGATCACGAGTGAGGAGCGCGGACGGGCCTCGGTACGGCGGTTAAACGCGGCCGAGGGCCGTCGATCAGCCGTCTCCCCGTTTCTCCAGCTCTTCCAGCTCCAGCTCCATTTCTCCGCATTTAACCACCTGCTGGGGCATATCTACGAGTCCTGTCAACTAAAAGCCATCCCAGACTAATTAGATATCATTTTCTGAATGTCACTACCAACTTGTTTCTATCAAAATAGGTTCCAGTGCGCCTATCTATAACCCGAGACATAAACTCCCAACCCCTCGTTCACATGCCATTCCCGCTCTATCAATTATCATATGCTTATCACCTTTTCTGGCTCAAACATCTTTGCTTGAGAAAAGTAATGGCCTCGCTGGTTCGCCACAATACGCTTCCCCGTTCGACTATCTGTAAAGTCACAGTTGTAATGCGTATGGCCAAACCCCCACAGTCGCACCTGGGGTTTCTCCCAGCACGCCTCTCCGGCGAGATCCGTCGCGAACGCCGATGATATAGGACTCTTCGCGTGCGCGGGATCCACCGCCAGAGGTGCAACAGTTGGACTGTGATGGGTAAAAATCACAATTCTATGATGGGGGTTGGATCTTGCGATTTCAGTGACCTGATCGTTGAGCCAAGCTCGGTCAGCTTCGTGAGCAGCGCAGTGATCCTCGACCGACCAGTTCTTGATGTAGTAAAAGTCATTCAGGCCGAAGCTAACCCGTTCCTCTTGCATCTCGCTGACCTTGGAGTGAAACGTGCACCCCAGGACCGTAAGATCCGGTGCCAGATCATATCGGGTTCGGTCGAGAAGGACAAACTTCCCTAGGTTGTGAGATCCGGACTTGGTATTTTGCATCTGTGCTCCTTTGCGTGTTATATCGTCAGAGAACCGCTTCAGCTTCTCCCTCACGTTCAGCCAACTAGAGTGGAAGGGCTCGTGATTTCCCATCACGAGAAAGACGATCTCAAACTTGCGGAGCTGATCTTCTATGAACAGGAGGAAGCCATCGTCCCTGACATTGCCGATATCCCCCAGGAGCGCTAGATACGGTGCTTTTGGCGCAATCTCAAACAAGTCGTATGCCTTGGGGTTTTCTAGATGCAGGTCGGAGACGATCTGGAACCGTGCCATTTTAGTGAGGGGCTTGACCTCCCTGGTCTATCCCTCGATCCCGATTGTTCAGCACTTCAAGCGCCCTTGGCTCCAACAAGAACCCTGCAGCCAGTGGAGAATTTAGGGTGTGCACTGACTGGCTTGTCAAAGAGGGGAAGAGAGCCACCTCGACTCAACCAGGGCCTTTCCGGGAAGGGATGGGGGGTGAATCTTGCCGCCGGCCGCGAAGCTGTTCTATTCTTGTGAGCAGACGGACCACTCACGCGCCGCCGTGAGTATATGTGGCGGTGCGGTGTGATGTGATGAAATGTGGCGCAGCAGTGCCAAGAGCGGCCGGGTGCAATTATGTCACTCCCCTCTTGGCCGCCATCCATTCATTCATGCTTGATTTCGACGCTCATCGGCCTGCCCGGGGTTCGGGCAAATATTTATTGCCTGTCCCCCGGTTCTGCTATCGCATCTCTACTCCTTCTTCTCCCCTTTACTCACTATTATAATTTACTTGGTTGCCGTGGACAGTACACCGTCTCTCTCATCTTGCAATCTTCCCCGCCAAGCGGCTGTGCCGTGTTATCAGCTCCCCCCCGCAAAGTCCTCCACTTGGTAACCACAGGGTCTTCGGTTTCTGAAACGTGTCTACTGTCTCTTTTCAGAGCAATTCAGTCATGACTTCTACCGTTCACGATCCAAGGCTACTCTACAGCATCGGCAACATCCGTGCTTTTCACATTCAGAATGGCGAAGAGACAGAGTTGACCCCCTCTGGGCCTCAGACCCTCTCTCTCCTGATGGTCCCCACCAGAACGTCCTCACCTGGCAATTCCCCCTCAACGTCTCCCCCTGATGCGTCTGCAGAGGAAGACTTTTACCTTCATCTGCATCTGCCACCGGAACTGGACCTAGCGCTTCCTGCTACCACCCAGATCTTCCACCAGTCTCCAGACAGCTACTTGATCCCTCGCTGGGATGTGGGCCCTGATGATGGCGCATTCATTCGCATCCAGTTTCCGGGTATCGGTTCGGGTCCGGGTAAGGTCACACA